AATCCAGCGATTGAGCAATCAGAGACAAGCAGCAAGACAGGTCTTATTGTGGGACTTGTCGTTGGTATTTTGTCGAGGGCAAGGCTGGGCGTCCTATGTTTGTGCTCCCCCCCGGACCCCTCACTCTCGGGCACTAACTATCCATCTGACCACTCATCGACGGGGCTTGGCGAGCGGCCGCGCTGCGGGGCAGGGCTGGTGAGAATGGGCTCTGGCCACTCGCCCGTGCGGTTGTAACCGCGCATCAGCCGAACGGAGGCCTCGACCGCCCCTCGCGGCAAGCTCTCGAGCATCTCGAGCAGCTCCCCCGCCGCCATCGCCGCCTCGAACTGCTCCCTCATGCCGAGCGCGCCGCAGACCTTGCGTACAGCCTCTTGCTGCAAAACGGAAAATTTCTTTTCTCGCAGTGACGCTTATCTTTGTTTACTGCTGCTCCGGCGCCACTTCGCCGACCGCGCTGTCTTGCCGGCGCGCACCACGCCCAGCCGCAGCCCGTACTAGCCCTCCGCGACACGCACAGCGCTGCGGCGCCGACTCGCGCTCGGCTCCCGCCTTTGCCGCGCTCGCAGCAGCCGCCTCAGCGGCGCGAGCGCCGCCGACACGCAGAAAGCCCAGACACACGGCTTTTGCCAGCTCCGCCGCGCGCCATTCTCGTCGGACCCCACAGCGCAAAGTCCGCGCTGACGCGCCACACGCGGCGTCACGCGCGCGGGAATGTCGGCGCGCGCCGCGGCGCGCGAGCCGATTCTGCGCAGACACAGCGCCTCTGCCCCTTGCAGGCGGAAATGCCCAAGGTCGGAAGCATCCCGCGCTCCGCCACGGTGGCGTGGTCGTCCTCCAACGAGCACTCTGGCTTGCTGGCGGCGGGCACCGTCGCGGGCGCCATATCGGACACGTTTGACTCCACTTCGCACCTCGATGTGCGTGACGCCTGCAGCGCCGGTCTCAGCGCTGCGACTCCGCTCGACGCCCGCACGCACACCTCCTCCCCTCCCACATCCGGCAGGTCTTCTCGCTCGACCTGCAGGGCGGCGCCGAGCTGCCGCTGGTCGGCTCGCTCGCGTGCAACGACCGCTTCAGCCGGCTGACGTGGGGCACCAAGGGCGTGGCGGACGGCTCGCTGCCGTACGGGCTGCTGGCGGCCGGCACGGCCAACGGCAGCGTGCAGATCGTCGACCCCGGCCGGCTCATCAGCCGCCACGACGCCCCCGTGGTTGCGACGATCGACTCCCACTCGGGGCCCGTGCGCGGGCTCGAGTTCAACCCGGCCGTGCCGGAGCTGCTCGCCTCGGGCGCGGCCGAGTCGGAGGTCTTCATCACCGACCTGACGAATCCGTCGACGCCGCGCGTCGTCTCGCCGGGCGCAAAGTCGCCCGGCCCCGGCGCCGACATCTCTTGCGTCGCGTGGAACCGCAGGGTGACGCACATCCTCGCGTCGACGTCGCACAACGGCCTCTCCGTCGTGTGGGACCTCAAGCTCAAGAAGCCGGTCATCAACTTCACCAACTCGGCGAACCGCGGGCAGCGCAACTCAGTCATCGCATGGAACCCCGAGGTGGCGACGCAGATCATCGTCGCCTCCGAGGACGACGCCTTTCCGAGCATGCAGATCTGGGACTTGCGCAACGCGTTTGCGCCCGTCAAGGAGCTCACCGGCCACTCCAAGGGCATCCTCACCGCGTCGTGGTGCCCGCAGGACGAGAACTTGCTCATCTCGTCGGGCAAAGACAACCGCACGCTCTGCTGGGACCCGGCGACGGGCGAGGTGCTCTGCGAGCTGCCTCCCTCGGCCAATTGGACGTTTGACGTGCAGTGGTCGCCTTGCCTGCCGGCCCTCCTCTCGTCCGCCTCATTCTCGGGCGAGGTGGCGGTGCACTCGCTGGCGGACGCTTCCGCCACGGCCGGCGCCGAGGAGACGGGCGCCGACGGCTTCTCCGTGCAGGAGCCCCACGCGGGCAAGCCCATGATTCGCGCGCCAAAGTGGCTGCGCCGGCCGTGCGGCGCGTCCTTTGGCTTTGGCGGCAAGCTGGTGCGCTTCAGTCACAAGTCGAGCGAGGTGACGATCGAGGACGTGCCCAGCGACACTGGCGTGGTTGCGCGGGCCGAGCAGCTGCGCGCCGCGCTCGAGGCCGGCGATTTGGCCGGCTTCTGCGCCCACAAGGCCGAGGCGGCGCCGAGCGAGCGCGACGCGGACGACTGGAAGCTGATGGAGGTGCTCTGCTCACACGACCAGCGGACGCTCGTGCTTGGCTTCCTCGGGCTCGTCGACCCGAACGCGCCGCCGCCGGCCGAGCCGCAGGCCGAGGCGGCCTACGAGCCCCAGTACGAGCCGCAGTACGAGGCGCAGCCCGAGCCGGTCACGCCGGCGACGCCGGAGCCGCAGCCGCCGCTGCAGGAGAGCGGATGTCCTAGACCCGGCCTCCACAGACTCGTCCTAGACATTCCCTGGGATGCAGTGGCTGTGCCAGGAGGGGCACGAAGAGAGGCCCCAGACCTCTCTACAGACGACGCCGGGAGCCTCCCCGGAGCCTTCCCTGAGCCTCCCCGGAGCCTTCCTGCAGGACGTCAACCCCGAGGAGCTCTTCTCGCAGATGGCAATCGCGACGGAGCGGCAGATGTCGCAGGCGTCGGAGCTGGACGCCATGGGGGCGGCCGCGACCCCCCCCGCGCCCGACGACGGCGCGTCGCCCATGCCGCCCGAGCCTGCCGCCGAGCCGCCCGCGCGGGCCGGGCCGCTCGAGACTGCGCCCGCGCCCGACGACCCGGACGTGTCGCTCGCGATGCTGAACGGCAACTTTGCCACGGCGGTCGAGGTGTGCCTCGCGCAGGGCCGCGTCGCCGACGCGCTCATCCTGGCCGCGTCCGGTGGTGAGGAGCTCTGGGCGGCGACGCGCGACCAGTACCTCGCCTCGAACAAGTCGGCGTTCATGAGCCGGCTGTCGGCCGTCGTGCACCAAGACTTTGACCGGTACGTCGCTGAGTCGTCGCTGCCCGCGTGGAAGGAGACGCTCGCGCTCATCCACACCTACGCCTCGGCCGAGGCGCTGCAGGGCCTGTGCAACTTGCTCGGCGAGCGGCTCGAGGCTGAGGCAGGCGACGCGTCGGCGGCGGTGCTCTGCTACATGTGCGCCGCAAACACGGTCAAGGCGGTCGAGCTGTGGCACGCGCGCTACAGCGAGCAAAAACCCGGGGGGCCCGCCCGGCCCCTTTTGGCTAAGGAACCGGGGGGGGTAAGGGGTTGGTCCCGTTTTTTAACAATGGGGGGGGGTAAGGGGGGGG